AAGGGCCACGTGATGGAGATCATCTGGAGTGCCTAGGCGGGGAGGTGAGTTTGCCGAGCATAGTATTGACACCCTTCGAAGGTGCGTACAATTTGCTCGGCATCGGCTACTGTGGTGGTCCAGTAGAAGCCTTGTCGGAATGCATTCCCAACCAAGGTTCTTGGTGCGGCATGATGACCGCAGATTCCACCGTGGATGTCGCCCAGCAGGAGTTTTCCCTGTGCGCTAGGGATACAGAGTTGCAGAATCCCGATGTGACTCCGTTTGTAGAGTTCGCCTTCTACAAGAACGAAGGACTTGGCGTGTCGTGCAAGCCGTCGGGATGCCTGGCATATCCGAGGGTTTCCACGCAAAGATGTCTTTGTTATCACAGAGGAAGTCGACGAGCGCGCTTTTCTATTCGGAAGAGAGCGAAGTACCAATACGTACCCTCTTAGCCTCGGAGCTGCTGGGTTCCACGTGGACCTCCTTGGAGCCCTCTGCTAGTTTGAACGACCCGGTTGTTGTTTTGGCGTCGGGCATTTTTTCGGCAACCTCCTCCCTGAGGGAGGCGAGTTCTTTGGTGGCGACGACTGCGGAGGCGTGATCGCAGCATTCAACTTCGCACTGGAGGTGTCGATGGTGATGACCCCGTGGGGGCCCGTCATCTTCAGCTTAAGGTACGTATAGTTGGGGACGGCCATGAACTTTGCGTAACACGGTCGTCCCAGGATGGCGTGAAAAGTTGGAGGGAACCCCACTACGTCGAAGGTGAGGGTCTCAGTCATGTAATTGGACCGATCCCCGAAAGTGACGGGCAGATTGATTTGCCCCAGGGGCATGGCCTGCCTACCAGGTACGACGCCATGGAAAGGTGCTCGGATGGGATGGAGGTTCGTTCGATCGACGCCCATCTCGTCGAGTGTTTTGGCGTACATGATGTTGAGGCCGCTGCCTCCGTCCATTAGTACCTTTGTGAGCCATTTTGGGCCGACGATCGGGTCGACGACAAGCGGGTACCTTCCCGGGTGTGGAACGGTGCCCGAGTGGTCGGCCCGATCGAAGGTTATGGTGGATTCTGACCATTGGAGGAAGGCAGGCGTGGCCGGTTCGGCCGTATAGACCTCGCGGCGTGCGACCTTTTGGCGGCGTTTGGAGTCGTAGGCCGCTGATCCTCCGAAGATCATGAGGGCACCATTTGGAGTCATGAAGGTGTCGTCCTTCTCCTCGACGTCGTTTGTCCTAGGGGCAGGTTCCTTGCCCTGCTCCCCTTTGTTGAGGCCCCCGGACAAGTATTTGCGCATGAGGCCACATTCCTTGAATAGATGTTTGGCCGGGAAAGCGTGGTTTGGGCATGGCCCCTCGAGCATTTTTTGAAAGTGGTTCGGAGTGCCTTCCGCGGGCTTCCGTCCACCTTTACGGTCGGCGGCGGCCACGAGCGAGTTGTCGCGCCGTTGGTTCTTATTCTTTCTCTTGGCTGGACGGTCGGAGGCGCCTTCGTCGGCGGCCTCGTCCCGCCTTGCCTTGCCGTCGGTGCGGTCGAAGATGGCTCCGACCGCCTCCTCTCCTGAGGCGTGGCTGGTGGTGATGTCCAAGAGTTCCTTGGTGGTCCGCGGGCCCCTGCGTCCCATCTTGTGGACCAGGGATTCGCAGGTTGTCCCGGATAGGAAGGCTCCTATCACGTCGGCGTCGACAATGTTAGGGAGCTTGTTGCACTGCTGGGAGAAGCGCCGGATGTACCCGCGGAGGGTTTTATCGGCCTTCTGGCGGCAGTTCTTGAGGTCCCATGAGTTTCTAGGGCATTTGTACGTGCCCTGGAAGTTACCCACAAAGATCTCCATGAGATCCGCCCAACTTTGAATGGCGTTGGACGGTAGGTGCTCCAACCACGCTCGTGCCGAATCGGCCAAGAATAGCGGGAGATTGTGAATAATGAAATTGTCATCACTCGCACCATCGGCTTGGCAGGCAAGCCGATAGTCTTCAAGCCAAAGCCCGGGGTTCGATTCTCCATAATATTTTAGGATATTGGTGGGCGGTCGGTACCTCGGGTGGAACGCAGCGTTGAGGATGTGTCGGCCGAAGGCCCGAGGGCCTGGCAGGCTGGGACTCGGGCTCCGGTCCTCGCCGCTGTCATAGCGTCCGCTGCGTCGAGGATGATAGCCGCGACGGGCTTCTTCTCTTTCATCGCGTGGGTGCGCCTGCGGGCGTCGATGGTGCTGCACATGTCACGGCTGTGGCCGAGACGTTGATGTACCGGGATAGCGGAGCGCTGCCTGTTGCCTGGCGACATCTGGTGAATGGACGCATCCTTGGTGGGACATAGCGAGGGCATGTGCTGGCTGGTGTCGGGTTCACGTCGTCGAGACAACGAGCTTTCCGCCTGCTGCGCCGCCACACGCTCGAGCAACGTGCGAATTTCTCGACGGGCGCGGCGATCCTCGGACGTCGCGGCCTCCGGAAGGCCGTGCAGCAAGGCCGTCGCTACGGCGATGTTCTGGCTTGCCCGAGCAAAGTGAGGGAGAGTCCCATCATCGGTGAGGATCCTCCGATGCACATCACGGGCCGAGGTGCGTGCGTGCCCACCGTCTCCGCGACGCTTGATCTCCTCCTCGATGTTTCGGTATTCCCGGACAAGCTGTTGCCCAATGTCATCGATCTCCAGCTTTCGTGCTCTTAGCTGCTCCATCCTTACGTGAGATGGAGCCACCGTCTTCGCCTTGATCCTGGCGTCGGGGTTGCCTGTTGGGGTCGTTTCTTCTCCGGAGACGCTTTGGACGTGTCCCTTAGGGGTTTGCGTCATGAAGCATTCCCAGAAAGGGTGATGGCTCCCCTTGCTGGAGTCAGAGCTGGAGGACGACTCTGGCAACTCCGCGAGGAGCCCATAGAGTGTCTCTAGATCGTGTTCGACTACCCCCATGAACTCGCTGTCCGTAGGCGGTTGAACCATGCGTAGTGTCAGAAGGTGGCCGGCGGTCGCCGCGGCGTTGCAGAGACCGAATGGAAACGCTGTTGGGGCGCTTTGTACGGGGCCTTCCAGAAACAGGGTGATGCTGTGCGGGGGCTCCCTGGATAACTGGGGTCCAAGGGAGTCACCCTACGAGCCCTCAAGCCTCAGACGGCTGAAGTTGATGGAAGGGAGAGGCTGTGCGACTGTGTGGGTCAGTGTCAGTTCTCCTCCTAGTGTGACGATGAAATCTAGGTTGCCGAAATGCACATGTGCACCTGGGGCCCAGCTGAATGCGTGGGTGGCCATCCGAGGCCTGATTTGGAACGCGCAAGCCCCCTACCTGGCGCGCCAACTGTCGGTGTTTCATACAAGCACCGGCAAGTAAATTTATAGTAATGCGCGTTAGGTTCGGATGGTGCGCTAAAGGACACAAGATTTATACTGGTTCGGGCTGAATATCCCTACGTCTAGTTTATTGCTGCTCGTGTTATTAGTACCGTAAATGGTTCGTAGTAGGGGATACAAACGATCGAGAGAGGGACAGGTCCCAAGTCTCTGATGAAAAGGTCGAAAGGAAGCCAAGAGCTTGGTAGCAGCTTGACTATATGTGTGTGTTGCGTTGTTTCCGTCCCCCTCTACTGGAGAAAGCGCATCCCCTTTTATAGATGAAAGGGACGGCTTTACAAGGGTCAGGGCTTAGGATCTGTGCTCTACCTAGCCTTGTGGCTTACTTCTACCCAGCCTCGTTACCCATTCTGATGGGTGCGAAAGGATGATAAGCGCCTACAATACTGTCGATGCTTACAGAGAATGTCGGGATGGTTCTGAGAATAGTGCCCCACAGGTAGGGTATGGGCGGAGATACTGATGGTTTTGACTTATGGACCTCGCCCAGCCTTGCTCCGCACGCCTTCTGGCTCCTATGAGTCTCTGTCGGAGGGACGCGGAGTCGAGGTCCGGAGTGGCGCTGTGGGCAAGGTCCTTTGATTTGGTGGACCCGAGGGGTCGGGAAGCGGGCGCCGCTCCCTTGGATCCATAATGTGGTGATGGCATGTCCGTCATTCATGGAGATCACAAATCCTTTTCTGGAGTGTAGTGGTTGTCGTGTATCTTCATCGGGTTCCATGTCCCAGAGCTGAAGGTGGTGCCTACAACTCTACAGGGCGAGGAGTACGCGCCTGCAATACTTTTTGGGCTCTACGACGCACGGGAGGGTCTAAAGCACATGTCTAGTCGTTCCCTGGCAGTACCTTTCCTACCGGGGCGCAAGGTATGGTCCTTGAAGCCGTGGTTGACCCGAACGTCTTGTCATGCTCTGTACCCATCATCATGAGGGAACAGGAGAGAAGTTATCAGGTAAGATAAAACCAGCCTTTGGACATCGAACCGGGCGAGGTTCGTCCTCGGTCGTCGAGCGAGGCGGAGCCCAGTCCTTATCCCTTGGGCGTGACCGAGCCCACCCCTCGGGGTCGGGCGAGGCGGAGGCCAGCCTTCAGCCCTCGGGTGAGGCGGAGGAGTCCCAAGGCGTCAAGGAACGGAGGTCGCCCCTTGCCCCGGGCGAGGCGGGGGCTGGTCTAAAGGCGTTAGGCGAGGAGGAGGCCACCCTTGCCCTCGGGCGAGGTGGGCTAGGCCAAAGGCATCGGTGAGAGGCGGAGGCCAGCCCCTTTGTCCCCGGCGAGGTGGGCTGGCCCAAAGGCGTCAGGCGAGACGGAGGAGGCCCCTTTGTCCCCTCGGCGAGGTGTGGGGCTGGCCCAAAGGCGTCGGGCGAGTTCGTCATTCGGGCAAGGAACGCAGCAGCGCCCATGTCCGTCCAGAAGTTTTTAACGTTCGATGGTTATTTGTTCCACCTTTTGGGGTACCCTGGTATTAGGTCCCCGACAGTATTTTTCTCTCATACAAACCAGCCAACAGTACTTCTTCACGAACCAGCCAACCGAACAGGCTGAATATGGTTCCTATTGTGGGCCGGACTACTGTTTATGTTTCCAACCAGCTTCATGATAGATACCGAGAAAACGAGAAATGGTTGGGTAAAACAAGAAATGGACGATGACGGCCAGGTATGGAGAAAATGGGGGGTAAAAGCGGTAACAAGAAAATGGAAATGGTGCGAAACGGACAGGGTGACGGTCTTCCAGATAAACTTCCGGTTTCTGACCGGCTTCCAGATAAATATCCGGAAAACGGGAAAATGTCCGGTAAAAGACCGACCAGCTTTCCGGATAAATACCGAGAAAACAGGAAACGGTCCGGGAAAAGCGTAAACGGTGACGGTGAGGTAAAATTGTAAATGGTGACGGTCAGGTACAATCAGGAAACTCTTCAAATCATTGGCTTCCGGATAAATAAATACAAAGAAAACATGAAACTGTCAAGTGAAAGCAGAAACAGTGACGATCGGGACATCCCTAGTGACATCTGGTTTTGATGTTTGAGGAGTCTCGATCGGCTTGTGGATAAATACCGAGAAAACAGGAAACTGTAGGGTAAAAGCAAAAATGGTGACGGTCAGGACATCCGAGATGATATCAAGTTTTGAAGTTCGACGAGGAAATCTCTATAAACGATTTGTGCAGCAAAAGCGGACTAACGGGTCGGGCCACGTCGCCCGTTGGTCCCTGGCCGTTCGATCTGACTGTGTTGGATCGGTTCGGGTCTCCGCCCGTTTCATCGCAGTCTCGGAGCCTAGCGAATCTTCTCGGTGCGTCATCCCGTCCGCGCAGTCGGCGTCGATGAGCAGCGCGGCTGCGCGAGTAACCATCGAGGGCCACCGGCGCGGGCATGGTCGACCGGAGAGGCGGCGAGCTCACCAGCGCAGCGGCACACGCGAGCCGAATGGCCATTTTGCCTGTCCGACTGAGCCGCGCTGTAGCCTTCGGCCCTCCGCCCGCACCTGCGCCGGATAAACGCCTTGTCCCCATGTTCGGCCGCCCTTGCCCGTAGCGAGGGAGAAGGGCCGCAGACGGGCTGTGGCACGGCGGCGCACGGGCCGCGGCGCGCAGGCGGGCCGACGCGCCGTTGCGTCTGCACCTGGCCGCCGCAGATGATTCCCGCCGGCGGCCATCGACACAGAAGTTCCACGGTCTCCACCTGGACAGAGGCTCGCTCGCTCGCCGGCCCTCGCACGACGACCACGCCAAGGAGGCACGGACTAGCGCAAGGCCTTCTGGGGCGAATACGCCGGGGACGATGCCTTCCTACTCTTCCTTGGGAGCTGTAAGTATTCGTTCCTCTGATTCCCGCAATTCTTATGGTTTTAATCCCGTTAGTGTTTGATTTCAGTAAGAGGAGTGACCCTCCCAATTTCCTTGTACTACTAACAGTCTCCATTTTCATTTCACCTTCTTTTTTTCCTGCAACAGTTCAGGTGGATTACGTGCCAAATTATGCAGCTGTATCAAACTACAAGTAGTGACCAGAGACTAACTGACATTTTCCTCGGTTGAAATTTGACAGCTAAATCATTTTTCAGTTAAGCATTCTAAATACTGAGATGGTGATGCTATGTCAGTCAGTGAGCGTCCTCTAAACTGCCTTGATCTATATATTCCCACCTATAAATGTTTTCTCAAATTGTTGATGCTATAACTCTGTTGAAATAAGAATAGATATACCACTGCATGTTTTAAATGGATTCGGTATAATATTTCTTTTAAATGGAGTGAGACTTATGTTACTTTCATATTTATGACAATCACAGTACTATCTCTGGAGCAACTACTCAGTTCTGCTAGGCTAATCCATGATCTTGTTCCTCGTTGTCTAAAAGGATGTACCCAGTGCAGAGAGCTCCCGCTCTGTGCGGGGTCTGGGGAAGGGTGTCAGTGGCAAGCCTTACCCTCGCCCGTGCAATGCGAGGAGACCGTGACTTGAACCCGGGACCTTCCGATCACAGGCGGTAAGACTCTACCGCTTGCACTAGGCCCACCCTTCATCTTGTTCCTCGTTGTCTAGATTGCATAATTTTTCAGTACCTCCCATTGCTCTAGAAGGGCCAACAATTTTATGATTGATAAGTGATCACAACACGTGCCCACATAAAAGTGCCAGCAATAGAAAAGGCACATCTGTTTGGCAGCATAATCAATTTCTGCCATAACTCTGACAAATTGTAGGTTAGAACCGGGAAAGAATTCAGAGGTGGCAACAAGCTCCTAATGGTATTAGTTTAAGAGTGATTAGTAAAAGAAAAGAATCACTTTAAATGCAACAGCATCAGACCATGCTTTCTAAGGTAAGTCAAACAGACATAGTTATTGTTTTGTATTATTCTTGAAATGCTTTCTAAGTGGTCTGCAACTGAATATTCTTTACGAAAATATCAATTGCATATTCAGCTTATAAAATAAAATTTCCCTTCCTCTCAATGTTTAGACCTAAATCTCCTATGTTATGGTAGTATAATAAAATTTCTTATTGTACTGAAAATTAATTTATACAAATCATTATCACACCTAGAACTGCAGCAATCGGAAGAGTACCAGTTCTAACATTAGCGACTCAAGGGACGAATGCAAATTTCAAAGGCCCACTCTTTGGACGGAGCGCTTAAATAAGCATCATGAGAAGTTTAAATTGCTGTACTGGCCCTCATTGTCCACCTGAATGGCAACATTATTCTAGTTTAGACTAGTCGGTAGTACAAGCAAGTAAAATAAACAGCTCTAGGAAGATTTTAATATTGGGGCCTAGACATTCAATCTCAGGTTTTTTGAAATCTCTGACTAATACATTTGATGATTGCAAAATGTACTTGTACGGTTCTCTGACAGTTTCTATTTTAGTAAAGGTTTAAACCAGTAAACCACACGACCTTAAGCTTCATATATACACCAAACACTAAGTTGAAATATTTCGTAAATTTTACCCTTTTCCATTATTTCTGTTCAGAGTGTAGCTCTCAAGAGTATAAAATGCCACTCTTTGGACGGAGCGCTTAAATTTGTTCATGAGAAGTTGCAGTTGCTTCACCATTGTCCACCTGAATGGCAACATTATTCTTTAAGAAGTCTGAGTACCAGTACGCAGACAGCCTGGGCTGCCTCTGACGCCTCAGGTCTTTGAAATCCACGCTGATGAGGCCAAAATGCGCCTTGTAACCATCAGTAGAGGTTTATGCCTACAACGCCCTTCTGCACAGCCTGAAGGCGAAGAACAAGGCTCAGGTGTGATGTCAAGAAAGTTGAGCAGAAACACAAGGCTCTGAACTGAAGGGAATGAAAATGGGCTTATAAGCCAAGCGAACAGTGCGTTGGTACTTCTCCCGGTATAGCCTGACAACCGAGGAGTGAGCTAGCAGATTGTAGTGTAGAAACAGGTAGGGCTCCACGGTGGAGTTGCCAACTGTGCAATCATGCCCAAATGGATATGAACAACGTCCAGGCGGCACAATTCCAACGTCATAGGAACCTTGAGCAATGATGTTTGGTTCCATCATAGTTGTCCAGTGTGCCACCCTATCGCCAAACTCACGAAAACAAACGTCTGCATATGCTGTGAAGTCGTCTCTGCATATGTTTGGTTCCATCATGGTCATACCATACAAAGCACGTGGAACGGTTTTCATAATTCAACGTTATTTTTTTTACCTGGTTCACGTAAAGTAAAAGCAACTTACACAATTATGGGGCTCAGCCATCCATTTTACTCATCTTCAAGGATTTGAGGGAGGTCTAGATGGTAAAGGGCAGCATGTACCTGAATACCTGCACAAGGGTTGGAAAACGATGATTCAGTTTCAGTGAGACAGTGACAAACAAATGCAGTGCAGTGTAGTGTAACTCCCCTTCTTTCACTAGCTCATTTATCATATCGTTGTAGAACTGCAGCCCTTTTGGGTTCACTGCTCCTCTCCCATCTACATGATCCCAAAGTTAAAATTAGTAAAAATGGAAAATCTAGAATTTGTTACTAGGCAAAATGAAAAACTGAAATCATGAGGTTAGTTGCACACTGACTAGGAATAAGTCTTGAGCAAGATATGGTGAACCTGTAAGCCTTCGTGCCTATGTCTTTCATTAGCTTTACATCTTCCTGAATGAGAATATCAACAAAGGATTTAAGAGATATTCCAACTTACAACCGACTAATATTTTCTCTGAAAGAGTGGAAATACCTTATACTTGTGATAACCATCAGAAGCAAAATCACCACTGTGCTCATTTGGATTCCTTGCTATTGCATTAGTACAGGCATATAGTCAGGGCAAATGCAAATGCAATACAGAGTAGTAATGTTTACACTTCTTGTAACTGTAGAGCGTGAAATCTAGCAAGACAAGTTGCCTCATCAAGAACATGTGAAATCTGAGCTCTTTGCAGCATTAACAATTACCAATTTGCCATCAGAACAAATCAGAATCAAACTAGTGCATAAAATCCTAGAGTGATGAGATCAGAAAAAGCAATTGACTACCTGAGTGAGCATAAAGCCCTCTTTGGCACGGCTCATCCAAAACGGCTTCACCGGTGAAGCCAGAAAAACTGGCTTTTCTCGGCTTCTAGTTCATTTTAACCCGACTTATAAAACGGCTTCACGCTACAGTGCCTCGATTTGCGTAAAATAGATGAAGACAAAGCTGGCATAAACCGTGCCAAAGAGGGCCTAAGTGTTCCAAATGCTTGGGCTCTTCCCATCCTCATCCACGGCACCCTCATACTGCCCCAAACATATACGGAAGAAAAATGAGGCCAATTGAAACCTCTTTACCCTGTTTGATCCAAACTAAGAGGTACTAATACCGAAAAAGATAAATTTGGAGCATGTTCTTTAGGGTACCTGAAATGCTGCAGTCCCAGCTCCAAAGGCAAATCCGTCAGGGAAGTCATCCACTGTGAAACGGAACGCCGTTACAGCATGTGATGAAAGCAGCAGCAGCAGCAGCCGCCATGGCAAGAAAAGCAGCAAGCGTCCCCCCATTGCTTTGTTCTCCTCAAGGCACGCGAGTACGGAGGGCTTCTTAATTCTTATGTGTGGTGTTGGATCATTGGATGCTGCTGGCCTGCTGCACGGATGGCAAACCGCCAAACCTGCGACAGGTGTACTGTACGTGGCCAGGAATATTTCTTAGCCAAGGCTTATTTTTTAAAAATAGATAAGGTTCCAAAATATTTTTTAGATGAAGGAATAAATTAATTGTCGTGCAGCAACCAAACAAAGCCATAGAAAATGTTACAACCTATGCAGGAATGCAGGATGCAGACTTAGCTCATTGCCTCATTATTACGCCATATCAACATTTGCTGATAGATTGAAATCAGTAAATAACCAATTATAAGATAAAATAAGATAAAAAAGTATTCCATCACATAACCTGTTACTAAATGGCTATCTACTTGGCAAAAGTTCCGATGGCAACCGCACCCAAACTAAGGTTGACGTGGCACATTCATGTCCTCTCTGTATTCTGATTTTTGTAACAATCTCTATGTGCCCTTGAAAAGCACATACATTAAAGATGTGTGTATCAAAAATAATATTATCACTGTGTAATTACCCAAATCACCAAACATAGAGATTCCGTACATTATAGGATTTATATCTTTTCTTTTGAACGCATATTAAGATTATTAAAAATATTGCTATGTCATTACTCAAATGAAGGCCTCCGGTTAGTAATATTAATATATGTGTTGTCATCATTTTCATTGTATGTCTCTAAATCTTCAGTATATATTAAGCTTAAATTATATCAACTCTTGTTTTATCCCTTTTTGTGATATCAGCAATCTATATTTTAATTTTCAACTCTTATCATATTAGTTGTCACATCGTTTTTATTCACTTGTTAAGTAAAAACTCTAGTGTTTATTGTATTTTTGTTTTATTTTATTTTATTTTATTTTATTAAAATATAGATTCTAGATCCTAGACTATACTAGTTACTACAATGCCATAAGCAGAGTCGTTTTAGCATTCCCTGCATCACTCATTGTCGAAAATTTATTTGCTATAACAACGAATTATATGTGAATTAGTATTTTATAAAAAAAGATGGAGTGCTTAAAGTTAAATTGCGGATATTAATATCTCATAATGTTTAAGTTAAAATATATAAAATTATCTAAAATAGTAACTTATAAAATTTATATCCCGGTCGAATTCGTATTTTCAGAAATATCCCATAATGTTTAAGTTAAACACTGGGGATGAAAACGGTATAGAAATATCCAACATAATCTATATCTAAATTACCAACATAATCTACTATTATTTTTTGGAATTATGCAGATCTTAGCATATGTGCATGCATGAGTTATAAATTATATATAATTCTAGGTTGAAGGCTTTTAGCAATCATGAAAAGTTTCTTTAGCAAGTTCTACACCAATGACACCCAGCCCAGTATCCATCTCGTTTACCTGTTTTGACTATATGACAAAATGAACCCTAGCTACAACAATCCTCTCCCTGCTTCTTGTCGGTGTTTCGAACCACCGGCTAATAAATTTGTATCTGTACGTCTGGGCTGGATGGTGTGCTCGAATGACACAAAGATTTATACTGGTCCGGGCGGAATGTCCCTACGTCCAGTCTGCTACTGCTCATGTTACCAACACTAGTTTGTAGTAGAGGTTACAAACGGGCGAGAGAGAAGGTCTCAAGTCTCTGGTGAAAAGATCGAACGGAGTTAAGTCTTGTTGAGCTCGTTTAGTCGTGTGTTCGTGCCTCTCCCCCTTCATGGGGCGTCCTACTTCCCTTTTATAGATGAAGGAGAAGGTGCAGGTTACAAAGAGAGAGAAAAGGAGAAAAGCGAGGGAGAAGAAGGCCTTCTGGGTCGCAACGTCCTTTATCTCCTTTATGTAGATCCCGCCGGTCCTGTAGATGATGACAGGGATGGCTCCACCTTGCGGCCCTGTTCATCACTGGCGCTATACGCAGGCGTCGTCAGCCTATCGCGGCGCTCCACTCCGTTTCGGTGGGCGGCGTGGTCAACAAGTATTCCTCTTAGAAGTCGTATGGGGATTAGGCAGCACAGCGCCAGCACAACCAACACTGTTGGCAACGTGAGCCTCTAGGTATGGTCCGTCGTGTCCACGGGTCACGTCGAGACGTGTCCGCTTCCCTCCCGATGTCAGAAGTTTGACCCTGGGTCGTACTCTTAGACCCGTAGTAGTTGGAGGCGGTATGGATCCCTGTCGGGTGAGACGAAACCCACGCCCGAGGGTTCTGGCGAGGCGGAGCCCGTGCTCGAAGGGTCTGCCGAGACAGGAGCCCGCGCCCTCAGGGTCGGGCGAGATGGGGACCACTACCTAGGGGTCAGGCGAGACGGAGCCCGCGCCCAAGGGGTCTGGCGAGACGGGCCCCGCACCCTCGGGGTCGGGCGAGACCTTAAATACATCTTGGACCATCCGAGCGAAATAACATTCATGGCTATTAAATTCCTTCCTCCGGGTATCCTTAATATCGATACTCGACAATAGCCCCCGAGACTGAGGAGGAGTAGAATACTCCTTTGGAGGCTTTTTTCAGGCGAGAGGACTCTGAGGGCCTCGGTCTCCCTTTGTATCCCGTGGGGTGTCTTGGTAGGGTTGCGATTCCATTCTATCATGATCGGACTCCTTGGGAACATGTAGCTGCAGGATTTGGGGCCGAAAAATATTTCTCTTGATTCTGATCCCTCCCTAGGATCTGATCGATCCGCCATCGTCATGCGACCGCGTATTTGGTCTCCTTATGAGTCCAACTTCCCTTGAGCCCCCGCGCATAGCAGGGGTCCGGTCGAGGGGTCAGCTCGTCTTGTGATCGTCCTCCCTCCAGTGTTTTTCGATAAAACAGAGGGACTGAGCCGTGCCATGTTTTTCGTGATGGACGAATCATGGTGCTCGGTGAGCTGTTAACGGGCTAGTCTGAGTGGGGCCCTGGCTTCTCATTCGCGGGGGTTCAGCATGGGTCAGCTGGTGACCAAATCCAGATTCTTAGCGGCTAATCCATATAATTCTTGGGTCCATTCGACTGGTCCCAAGGGCTTGCTACCTTTCTTCGAGGAAAAACCATGGACTATGAACCCACCAAGACTCAAACGTGGGCCGGGATGCCTGCGGCGCTCGTGCGCCCGGGTACTGGCCGCTAGTGGGCCCATCCCTTTCCACCCCTCACTCTAAAGGTGCTCTAGACCGGTTGTGAAGCCGTCGGTGGGCCAACCTTCGAACTTCTAGGCCTGAATGGGCCGTGGGAGCGTTTTCAGCTCCGTATCCCTCCTTACCTGTGGCGGTTCTTGGCCCATCGAATGGGGCGAATTGTCATTCGGCACGTCCTTCGAGGGAGCGGCCAGAGATAGCATGCGCACGATCTTCTCGCATAGGACTTATCTGCCAAGATAGAGGATGAGATCATCCCTCGAAAAATTAGTTAGTTAGATAAACGAAGTGGTGGTCTTGTAATAAATGAACAAGTTTTAGTTCTTTTGTTCCGGTCAAACAAACTTTTGGGTACTTTTTTCTTTTTGTGTTATAAAAAGGTTACTACATTCCGATCCTTTTCTGTTGTTAAGGCTACAAAGCTTAAGGCACGGGCGAAAGAACCCTGATCACGCTGGTGAGTAAGAATGACGTAGCCGATGGGGCGTAGGTTCCTTACAGTCCGACCAACTTTACTGAGTGTTCATTTCCACAGCTCTCACTTTTAGATCTTAACATGAGAAAGGGTTGGGTACAACAATTGTTTCTGAATAGGTATGCTCTTATCGGCCCCTGAGTGAGGCCCGGCCCCGTGCCGTTGCTAGGGAAAGAAAGCATTTTTGTATTTTAGAAACACCGTTCTTAGTTTTCATGGGTACATGCATATGCTAAGGGTAAAAAGGACGTAGCTGCTCGATGTTCCATGCGTTGATGAAGACCTTGCCGTCGATGGTCTTGAGCTTGTAGGTGCCGGGTCGGAACACTTCTGTGATGACATATGGTCCCTCCCAAGGCGGAGAGAGCTTATGATGGTTTTTGTTGCTCTAGACGAGGCGGAGTACTGTGGTACCGGCACAACACCTGCTGGTGCTTAGCCGAGTGGAGGACGGCAACATCGCATGCCTCATCGAGCTGATCCATGGCATTCTTGAGGGATGCCTTGGCTCCCTGCTCGTTGTACACCCTGACCCTCAGCGCTCCATAGTCGAGGTCGGTAGGGAGGATAGCCTCGTAACCGTAGACCATAAAGAAGGGTGTGTAGCCGGTGGCCCGGATGGGGGTCGTCCTCAGGCTTCAGAGCACCGTAGGGAGCTCCGCGGCCCATCATCCGCCAAACTTGTTCAATTGGTTGAAGATCCTAGGCTTGAGGACTTGTAGGACCATGCCGTTCGAGCACTCGACCTACCCCGTTCGTGCGGGGGTACACCATGGTGGCCCAATCGACGTGGATGTGGTATTCATCGCAGAATCGGAGGAACTTTTTCCCGGTGAACTATGTGCCGTTGTCCATGATAATGGACTTTGGGACTCCAAAGTGATGGACGATGTCAAGGAAGAATACCATGGCTTGCTCGGACTTGATCATAGTGATCGGCCGAACCTGTATCCACTTTGTAAACTTGTCTACGGCGACAAGCAAGTGCGTATAGCCCCCGGGTGTTCTCTTGAGAGGTCCGACCGTATAGAGACCCCAGACCATGAATGACCACGTGATGGGGATCGTTTGGAGTGCTTGGGCCAGCAGGTGGGTCTGCTGAGCGTAGTATTGACACCCTTTGTAGGTGCGCATAATCTGTTCAGCGTCGGCTACTGCAGTCGGCCAGTAGAAGCCCTATTGAAACGCATTTCTGACCAGGGTCCTAGGTGTGGCATGGTGCCCGTAGACCCCACCGTTAATATCTCTCAGCAACTGCTTCCCTTTTTCGATGGAGATGCAGTGCTGTAGGATCCCGGTGTGGCTTCACTTGTAGAGCTCTCCCTTATTAGAGCCACCGAACAGGAACCGCTTCATAAGGGCGC